GACGATTAAACTTACGTGCATCGAGATGATTTCGTGTTTTCTAAAGCGTCTAGGCAATTGCACGTGTTTACAATCCACAACTTAGTACAACATATTTTACACCTCTCCTTGGCTAGCTCAATCATCAGAGCCATACTGGCACGCAATCGGAATATACCACGAAAAGTTGAAAAATAGGTTCCTGCCTATTAACGGTCATACATTAATAAAAATACATGTAGAGCAAAAGCTTAACACCAATTTGGCATCTTAAGACGAGGTAGGAGCTGATTTATTGGCATCGCACTTCGCGGAAGTTCTGCATTCATATTCATTCGCGGTCCTTTCCATTCGATTGGGACGTCGCCCGGTTTAAACACATGCACAATTGTCCTATATAGGAAATGATACTTGCTTAGTTATATAATCCAGGAGAAAAAGGACCTTAGCTGTTCTCGATAACCTAACGCTCTTCTAGCGTTAATCGTGCATCGCTTCCTGTTAATTCGACCGAACTAAATTTGCACAAGCCGGCAGGTACAAAAAGGGCGCCATTTTAGAAGAGATATCTTCACTGTCTGAAAAGTTAAACGACAATCTATACAAGTATTAACACTAAAGAATGATTCCCTACCTTTCTAGCCGTCTTTGCAGACCGCTTGATCCTCCCTAACTCTTGTATTCTCAAGCTCAAACCTTCTGAAAGAACCGACACGGCTGGCTTCGGCCGGGCAAAGAAGCTCGATCCCTTAAAAGGCCAGGTCGCAAAGCCAAGCAACAACAAACGAGCAATGTACAATTTAGCCAATCATAAAGTTACAGATAATTCCCTTGGGTGTAAACCCGCCAAACTTGAATACAGTCGAACCACCCAATAATGTATTGTCTTTTTTTGGTTTTGTTTTTTGCGGAAAAAAAAAACAGATGCAAACGAACTGACAAACAATTGGATCAGGCGTATTTTTTTTCCCCGCCAAAAAGCAAAAAAAATCGCCTGATCGCAGGTTAGTGAGGTTCTGACACAAGTTATCAAGTAGTCCAAGGCAAGTTATTTGTAAACCCTGGGTGGTGCAGTAAATTCAGTGAGCAAAGAGAAATGGGAAATTATAGCCTGCTAGCAAGCTCTCCGAAAATTATAAAACCGTCAGCCCAAAAAGTGGTCGCTTACAAAAGGTTGCGGTCGCTTACAGGACAGTCTCTAATAAATAGAGCTATGACTTAAAATATTTTGGTCTTTTGGATCTGTGGTCGCGTATCTGAGTAGGTCGCTTTCAAGGGGTGGGTGCACGTGGAGGTTGTATGGCTAAATATTCAAAACTGGTCCAACACTTGTCTTAAGGCGGATCTGAACCTTGCCGTCAATCAGAGAATCAAGACAGCTGTCAAGCGGGGATTCACCTTTGATATAAAAAAGGGAAGTGCTCTGATGCACAAATATGATAATATGCCAATCAAAGAATGTGTCCATGTGTCAATCAAAGAATGAAGCCCTGATTTTTTTTTTTCAGGCTTCTTCTTTCCAATTTCTTAAATTAGAAAATTTACTGCGATGATCATTCTTCACTTTCAGAATGTGTCCATATCTCGGACCAGTAACCTGCGATCATGCCCTCCCTATAGAACTCTTATCTCGAGAACGTCTGCGTGGGAGGCTATATGTCTTTCCTTCTCTTCTGAAAAAAATAAAACCCGCAATTGCTGATCGCAGGGTTATAGGGCTGTACATTATAAGCTTGAGAAAACAACCATCATTTCCCGACATGTCATTTCCATGGTGGTCGCAAAGTGTTTCCCCTGGCTACAACTTCAGCGGCCTGCCAGCAAGCGGTTCCATCTCGAGTGGCAAGCGAAGCCAGCCGCGTAAGAACACGCGAGTGTCGGAAAGTGGCAAGGCCTCTCTATCCCCCTTCCTCGTTCTCGCTTCCTTTCGTGTGCTGCTCGCGCGTGACTTTTCACGTTACAGCGACGATATCTATCCTCCAACTGAAGACCTTGTTGCAGGAAACAATATCAGCTGTAACACCCTCTTCCTGTAAGTTTACCTGCTGAGTTCAGTAACAAAAATAGGCGGTCACTTTGTTGAGTGTAAAAAATCATCTGAGACTGCAATGAACATCATGATATCAAATCACAGGCAAGAGAGATTCTCCAAAATTAAAAAGTTTTGAGTAAACATTGTGTTCCTGTCGAGGATTGTTGTAAGAAAAGAAACTTCACTCTACTTTCCTTTTTACCAATTGGTTTCTAGTTGTGATCTTGCACTTTCCTAGTCGCCTAGTCCCCTGTAAGGTGTTTTCCCAGTCCCCCTCGGTCAATTCACGTCGGTGACGTACCCGAGGCGAACGGGCAGGAAACGCCTCACATTTTCGCTTGGACCACGTGACCCGAAACGCTTTGGCCGAACGGCAAAATGAGGCTTAGGGACTAGGCAAATCTTCCACTACAGTTGTGGATCGAGTGAAAGGGCCTGGACCTCACTCTCAGTGAAATTGTCGTCTCATTTAGGCTGTTCGGGACGGAAACCCAATATTTTTATCTGTCAAGGCCTAGCTTAGGGTTGTGGGTAAAAAGAAAAACAGACTCTATAAACAAAAACCAAACGCCGTCATACTGTGTTGGAGTATTCAGTATCTCCATTAGGGGTCAAATATAGCCTCAGCCACGCCGGATCGGTCTCCTTTTTTATGGGTTTAGTTATACATTGTAATAGCCTGCGAACAACTTCTCCGGGGCGCTCTTGCGGAGGGGCGGGATAAAGAAGGAGAGTTTTCAACCACGTCCCTGGAGTTTGAATATCTGCATCGAAGAACTCGATGCGAAATGCTGATTGGCAAAGATGACATTAGTAATGACATCATCACCCCTGGCACATGTTTTTCAATGTTTGCTTACATTCGCGCTGATTGGCGGAAATCTGACAGCTCAGTCGAGGGGGAGCCACAGGGAAATTGGAGGTGGAATTCAAATTCCAGAGACGTAGTAGTTGTATGCTCTCCTTCCTTTTCCTGCCCCGCCGCCAGAGCCCCGGAGAGCTTGCTCCCAGGCTTAGTTACAATTTTGCAGCAGGCATTCCCGTCCCTTTGATATGGGAGTTCCACCGAGAGGTTCAGAACATTATTTTATTTTATTTATTCCAAACTCATTAGTACAAACTTACTGGCCTTTTTTAAAGGCATTGGCAACGGTAAACACGCCACACTAAATATAGCAAAATGAACAATCTTTAGACTGTAACAAATTTGCGAAAAAAATAGAGGAAATAAGTAATGCTTTCTGGAAAAGCATTAAGGGTTCTTTGTTTAGAGTGATTTCACTTGAACCATGAGACAGATCATAACTACTAGTGCAAAATAGCTACAAGTAAACAAAAGAAGACAATGGAATTAGTGCATAAGAGAGCGTAGTATTCTACTACTGTGGGTACCTATTTCACGGGTGAAGTAAAATCACGCCAACACCAATATATTGCCGAGAAATTTCGGTTAGATTTGAAAATTGTGACGGAGAGACAGATATCGGAAAATATTCCGTTTTCGTAAACTTCTGAATCACATTTACGATTTTTTGGAAAATCATAAAAGTGATAAAAGTATGAAAGCCAAAGGAAACTATAACAGGCTTAACCTGTCATTTTGGATTGAGACAGAGAGCCTTCGTCATGGTCCAAGCGCTGTTCTCAAAAAAGGAAACTTTTGTTTGATTTCCGTCAACAAGAACCCATAAGAGGAAAAATTTACCGACGAAAGTTGATTGCCAATAATTACTCTGAACGAAGACCGATTTGTAATGCAAACCATTCAAGCACGAACTTACTCCCCCTAAAAAAAACGCGTCTATACGGGAAAAAAAAGTTTGATTTGTCATGCAAAAATACACTAAAATTAAAAAAATTGACAACAGAGTAACAAGGGAACCAGGGAAGAGGGTAACAGGGTAACAAAGGGACAGGGCAATAAGGTAACAGAGTAACAAGCCAAAAGGGTAACAGGGTAACAGATAGCCTGAATTTCATCCGATTACTTCGAGTCGTTATTACTCCCCCGGTAACGTCTGAATCGACCGGCCGTTAATGCCGTCCAGTGACGTCACTCACTACCCGAAAACCGGGTAGTAATTTCGATTGGTTGATTGTCTAAACATTCGCATAATTATCTATAATTATGAAAAATTTTAGCGGGAATGTCACTTGATATTCAGCGGATCGCATCCCTGACATTCTTTCTTGTAGTTCTTAATCTTTATCTTAAACAGGAAAATTGCCCTTGTCTTCGAAACTGAAATGCTCAATTGAACTGCCAATGAAGAATCATTGTGGAGAGTCGGTAGGTTTTTCATTTAGAGCCGCTTTGTGGTTTCGGCGGCCGGTGATTTTGTTTTCGCGAAGTTTTCTGAGATCAATTAATGTTATAATTCGACCTTCTTGCTATTTTCACCGTCAAGTGTAATGATTCTGTTAGCTTTTTTTCTTGTTTCCTTGTTTTTTTCTTCGTTAAGGACCAAATAGCTTCTTTTCAATTAAAGCAAATCATTGTACTTTTGAACTAAGTGTTCCGTGTGTGTGTTTATTCCATTGCGTGATTGGGACCGAGTTTTATTAAAAAGTACCACGTACCGGTTCAGAGTTGTACCGCATGCAGTTGATAGTTTGAAACGTTAAACATGAACTACGATCGAAAAAAAATAAAGCAATTCTGTATTCGGTTTGCCACTTGAAAATCGTGTTTTACTTTTTGCCTGAATTAAAGCAAAGGTCAAGGAGAAGTGACGTCACTGGACGGCATTAACGGCCGGTCGATTCAGACGTTCCTGAGGGAGTAATAACGACTCGAAGTAATCGGATGAAATTCAGGCTAGGTAACAGAGTAACAAGGTACCAAGAAAAAAAAGGGAGGTTTAACTTATGCAAGTAAAGTCAGTACATACATCAGGTACCTACCCAAGTATGTAGCGCAGTCGACGAAAGGAAGACCCGACGACACGAAAACATAAAAATGACGCAACGACGACATAAGCCTGCTCGCATGAGCAGACAAGCCGAAGTAAGAAAACAGAATCGAACCGTAGTCCGTGGGGTAGCGACTCAAAACGAAGTTGATTACGTTAGTCAGGAAACACTCAACTGCCTGTGAAAGGTCTGTTCTATGCGACACTAAAGTACAGACAATGAAAGTTAAACGAGCCCATATATGTGGTGCATAATCAGAAGTGTTCATTACTCAGCAGGAGAGCCTGTGTTGAACTAGGGCTCATAAGACGTGCTGACAAAGATGTTGAAGAGGTGAACACGGGACCAACAGATTTCAAAGCCGAATTCCCAGCGCTCTTCAGCGGAATGGGAAAGCTGAAGACATGAATGCCATGCACACCTCGCCCTGATGCTATTCCTTTCTGTCTCTACAATCCAAGAAAGATCCCCCATCCACTGATTCCAAAGGTAAAAAGTCATTAGAAACAATGCTTCAGCAAGTAGTGATCTCGCCTGTAACAGAGCCAACTGAATGGTGTGCAGGTATCGTCCCTGTCCTTAAACCAAATGGCAGTGTGCGTATCTGTGTTGACCTGACTCACCTTAACAAAGCAGTCCAGCGTGAGATACACCCAATGCCTTCAGTAGATGAGGACCTCGCTAAACTGGGAGACAGTAAGATCTTCTCCAAACTCGACACCAATAGTGGGTTTTGGCGGATTCCCCTGGATGACGAATCGAAATTACTCACAACCTTTGTCTCACCATTTGGACGTTTTTGTTTTAACAGACTACCATTTGGTATCAGCTCTGCGCCAGAGATCTTCTAACGCACTATGTCCAAGATACCTGAGGGCTTGGAAGGGACACTCTGTCAGATGGATGATGTCATCATTCACGGGGTTGACGAGTCAGAAAATGATGGACGCGTACGAGCTGTTCTTCACCGCCTGTAAGAAGCTGGGTTGACCCTTAATGACAAATGTGAGTTTTCACGATCTTCAATTCGATTCCTCGCTCACATCATTGATAGCTCTGGACTCCAAGCATACTCACAGAAGACCACTGCTGTGACCCAATTCCCAGTCCCTTCAGATGTCGCCAGGATACAGCGATTCATGGGGATGGTAAACCATCTTGGGAAATTTATTCCCCACGTGGCTGACCTCAGTATGACCCCCTTCGTCAATTATTACGCAAAGACAGTGTTTGGGTTTGGGGTGAACCCCAGCAACAAGTCTTTGAGCAGATCAAGCAAGCGTTAGTGTCACCGACAGTCCTGGCGCATTACAATACAAACCGCCCAACGATCATTTCAGCAGATGCTTCCAACACAGGACTTGGTGCGGTATTATTTCAAGTTCAGGATGATGGACAGCGCCGTCCAGTGTGTTACGCGTCAAGATCTCTCAGTGACACAGAGAGTCGTTATGCCGTAATTGAAAAAGAAGCCCTCGCGACAACGTGGGCTAGTGAGACGTTCTCTGATAACGTGCTCGGCATCCCTTTCACCCTAGAAACAGATCACAAACCGCTTACTTTACTCCTGAATTCATCGGAGCTCTCAAAGATGCCTCCCGCCCCGTATCCTTCGTTTCCGCCTATCAAGTTCAATATGTACCAGGAAAACATCAAGTCACCGCAGATACACTCTCACGTGCTCCTGTCGCCCTGCCAGGGCTAGAAGATAAGCTACTTGTTGAAGAAGTAGAGGCCCTCTCAACTCGGACAACTTCCTGTCTCCCTGCCACGCCAAACCGACTACCGCAGATAAGAGATGCACAGAAGACAGACGAAGAATGCTCCCTTTTAAGATCATATTGCCTTCAAGGATGGCCCCCTTATATGCCTCACCAGCCGTTACTACGCCCATATTGGGAAAACAGAAGCCACCTCACGATTGTTGATGACCTTCTCCTGTATGATGATCGTATACTAATTCCAAGGACTATGCGACTACAAATCCTCGACTGCATTTATACTGGTCACCTAGGTCTGACTAATTGTAGATCCAGGGCACGCACTTCCGTATGGTGGCCAGGACTCTCCACACAAATCGGTGAGTTGATCACCCGATGCCACACATGTGCCAAGGAACAACCAACGCCCAGAGAACCACTTATGCCCTCGTCCTTCCCAGTGTGGGAGAGGATTGCAACAGACCTGTATGATTTTCAAGGAAGAAAATACATCATCGTGGTTGACTATTATTCAAGGTGGTTTGACATCAAGGAACTCTCTGATGAGACTTCACATTCAGTCACAAAAGCACTCAAGGAGGTTTTCGCCACACATGGCATTCCACATGTCATAATGTCAGACAACGGGCCACAGTATGGTACAGAGGCCTTTTAACAGTTTGCAGCAGCATACCATTTCACACATGTTACTAGTTCACCCAAATTCCCCCAGGCGAACGGCGAAGTCGAAAGAGCCGTTCGCACAGCAAAGTCCATGCTGAGAAAAAACGAAGACATCTTCAGTGCCCTCTTGACTTACAGGTCAACTCCTCTACAGAACGGCTACTCAGCCAGTGAACTACTGATGGAACGCCGTCTGCAAACGCAGCTACCAACTCATCCAGCCAACTTGTACCCTAATGTGCAGATAAAAGACCGCCAGTTGGTAGAAGAAAAGGAAAGCTCGTATCGGTTGAACCAACAGCGCAACTTTGACAAGCGTCATAAAGCAAAGGAACTGCCAACACTTGAACCAGGTGACCGAGTTTGGATAAGAGATCAAGTTCGGTATGGCCTGGTGACAGAGAAAACTGAGAAACCCCGATCTTACCTTGTCACTACAGAAAGGGGCACACTCCGAAGAAACCGCTCTGCCTTAGTAGCTGCAGCCAAACCCGCTGAGACCGAACAACACTCAGCTATGCCAGCTGGTGATGTCAACCCTGCCTCGCCAGTACTTGTCACCCCTGTATTGCCAGTGCCCAGCACTCCGCAAAGGCCTCAGACTCTGCAGGTGCCCCCATCACCACAGACAGCTGTGCCAGTAGCTACCCTCGGAACAACACTGGAAGAGTGCGTACCTCCACGAAGTCCAATTAAGACCTGCAGTCCTGACAACTCGGTCAGGAAGAACTGTGAGGCCTCCAGAATGCCTGAATCTTTAGTTGAACATTGAACTGTGTGTGCCTCAGTGATTCACATGAACATTTTGATTTGTTCGTTTGTTGTTCGTTTGTTGTATTTACATAGCTTTCCCTTTAGGGGGGAGAGGGGGGAATGTAGGATTATGCTTGCATTGCATGCTGGGTTTGAGATCGGCCATCTTGAATAAACCTCCTGCTAGCTTGTGTTTACTCGAAGTCTCCTTTCTTCTTCACCTGATACTACAACGAAGACAACAGACAATGACTCGAAGAACAATTTTCGAAGCGAAGAAGTGTTTCCAAGGCCACGAAATTTTGTCCCCGATCTGACGCCATAAGTTATACGTCACCGAAATGCATTGACCGAGAAGGCCAGGGAAGAAACCGAGCAGGCTAGGCTTGGGGCTAGGAAAACGCAGATCGACCCGAGAGAATTAATGTAGGATACTGAAAGTTCTGGATCCACGGTACAAACGTCTGTGAAGATAAGTTTCTCTTTCAACCAACCACAAGGAGTATCAAAAAGAGATTAAGTCTTTCTGGAACTTTGGAAAATCCGCGAAATTTGTGACAACTAGATCCCGCGAAAACGTCGTAAAACGTTAACTTTGTCAACTTTCTCGGCAGTTTTCTTGTGTTGAATATGTTTCGATCACCAAATAACGTAATATACCGGAGGTATAACATCCAGACCACAACGCAACAGCTAACTAAGCCTTAGTTAGCTGTTGTGTTGTGGTATGGATCATTAAAAAAAACTTCTTTTCAAGTAAATAATCTAGTTATTCTTCTTTCGTTCTACGTTTCTTCTTTAGTGCGTTGTTTTATAAACTCTATCATTTTTAAGTGTACAGATCAAAAAGAGACATAATATAAAGATTCTTTTCTAATTCACCCTCTGTCGTATCTTGCATTGCCAGCTGTGTCGTTGTTGTATCAGCCGCGGATGGGCTGGTTTTGTTTCAAGAAAAATATTCAAGAAAATATCGTTGTATTTCCGAAATGCATGTTAGATATTTCTACCACTAATAGCCTGTCTACAACTTTGATACACTTGAACTACTGTGAACTACACCATCAGTGATTAGGGAGGTTCCCCTTGGCCGCCGCGCCTGTAGGCTTGAATACATGTTCATGATCAAATCGCACATCACGGAAGAACTGTAATACACTGTATAGAGACCAACGGAAGCGCTAAAGCGTGTCTTAACCAATACTCGATCCATCGACAGTCACTTAAGGTATCTTTAAATAGGAAAGGTAAGTCTACTTCTTTATTCTTCAACTTGGTTAGCTCTATCACATCAATTCAAACCTTAGGAAAAGGCTCGCTGTGATACAGCGAACCATGAAGGACTCAAAGCTGCCAAAGCTGGCTGAAAATGAAGATCGCTGCACGAACCGAACGATTACACAGGGTTTGTCTGCCGAGAAATAAGTTAAAAGGACGTAGACATATTAAATTCTGCAAGCAGAATACTGCAATGCTGATCGTATTACGTGAAAATTAACAGCTGTTTCGCCCTCTTTGGGGCTCGTCAGTATGGCGTAACAACCAGAGATCAGGCTCTGATGAAAAATATCCGCGCACTCTGATTTTAGTCCTGACCTAGAACTCTTAACACCCACAGAATCACGCCATACCACGTTTTTTGGGGGGAGCAAGAACAGAAAATAAAGATCAGGTCTTTATAGTTCCTACGTTCTTCGGCATATTCGTTTGCGGTCCTTTGAAGTCCCTTGTGGTTAATGTTTTTACTTTAAAAGGACGGTCATATCAAGGGTATTTTTGACGATAAGGAAGGTGTGGTATATCTTCCTTCGAGATATTAACACAAATGTTCTCAAAATAAAGTTGAAAATCAAGCCAGGTCAACATTCCATTATTCGAAAGTAGATTTCAGATTCATCTCCGCCTTCCTGCATGCGTATTTAAATGAGAAGGAAATTCACACGCTTGAATACGATGTAAATGTCTTCGAATCGATTTTGTCCATGCAAAATACAGCTGAAATTGCAGGATCCGGGAATCCGTTAAAATCTCGCTTTGAATCCGAAATCCAGGCAAAAATATTTTCAAAATCAGCCGATCCGTTCACCTATTCACCCCCCTCATTACGAATGCAGATTTGAATTTGTAACAGGCTACGGCATGCCCGGCAACGACTGACGGATTCCAGGGATTTATTCATGGTTTTCACATGACGTTACCAAAATTCAAACTAAGAAACTATCGCTTCTTCTGAGTTTCTACTTTCATGTGATACTAGAGCACCTTAAAACCTTTAAACAAACAAATTTTCGGTTCAAAAGGTTTCTTTGTTTTGCGATACAGGGCGCTTGAATTTCCAGACTTTTGCCTGACGCAGCATTTAGCTGGCGGCCGGGAAAGCTCTTATGTGGGTTAAAAACATTACGGATTTTTAGAGATTTTGCTATCTAAACATTCCTTGTCTTGGAATAGATATTACTTTAATCTTTATGAGTTCCTCATATATTTATCTTCTTTCATTTCCCAGATTCTACACTTTCTGTATTTTTATTTCTGCTTTCTCTCGTGAGTGAAAACCAAGAATTCAACTTTTGAATAATAAGTTCATTAATGGAACATTGGGGGGTACACTTGACCTGGCTAGGCTGTAAATTAAAAAATGTAAACATTCTATGTCGCAAAAATGATATGCTCATATTTCATATAAATTTATGAACACTAACAATGAAATGTTAACAGGTAACATGTCACGACATTTGGTTTAGTATTTGCAGGGTTGCAGGAATGTCAGGGAAGCTTGCAAAAAAGCCAGGGAGAATTTGTTTCCAGTCAAATACTGTGACGGAAAGGAAATTTCATTTTCCAGTAAAGTCAGTTGTCACAGAGTCACGAGGATCACATATAAACGCCTTTCTTCTCCCGAAAACAACTCTATTGACTATAGTCGATCGAATTTTACAATCCAAATAACGTGAAAAACGTAAGGTGATAGAAAAGAAAACAGTAGGTTATATGTTCCTAATATACCTAAAGAAAAATATTCTTCGACTGCAAAAAGGGGAGAAAAAATATATGACTTAACTTATAAAAGCCAAGAATTTTTTTTTTCGTGCAATGTGTCAACGCTGTACAGAATTTTTCTCAGTGGATTGGTCTTGTGTTGTTCCTAGGATGATTTCAAAGAGAAAACAAAAAGCGTAACCTACTGATTTTAATTTGTTTTTAGGTTCAAAAGACTGACCATGACAGCTCTAGCTCCAGTTCGTCTCTCGTGGATCCGCGCATCTTTCTACAGATTTCCTATGTTCCGTTTCTCCCTGCCAAGAGCACATTTAGTTCATAATAAGACCAGAAACTTGTTTTCAACAGATACTTTCACACCACTACCAAGAGAAGAAATGCTTACAAAATTTAAGTCCAGAATAAAAGGCCGACCATCCATGGCAGGTTCAACCGGGGAAGGATTCCCAGAATTCCTTGCAGAGCCAAGAGAATCATTCCCCCATGGCGTGCTCATTACCAATCCCCAGCAATCCTCACTTGCTCAGCTGACGGCAAAATGTATGGAATATGTGGAAGAAAATCTCATACAGCATCCCGCTATTTTATTTCGCAATCTCCCAGCCCAAACCGAGAAGGACTTCTCTATCATTGCTCGGGAAATTCCAGGAAAAGCCTTGACTTATGAGGGAGGGGCCTCTTTTCGCCAAAGAATTGACGAGAATATAGGAACATACACCGCTAACAACGATCCAGATGAGATATCGATAGATCCGCACAATGAAATGTCATACAACAATGTATACCCATCCAAGGTAAGCTATATTAACATTCAAGGCAGTTGAAGTTATCTAAATAAACCGTTGAGTTTTCATGTTGCTACTATGAGAACACTGTTAAGGCCTAATAACACGAGATTGTTGGAAAGGTGGGGGCGATATTCCGGCCAATTTAGAATCTTTTACACACATCGCAAATCGTGCCGGCGCGTTTGGCCGAGAGGGTTTCAGGGTTCGTACAGAGTCTTGAATTCTTGAAAAAGTCTTGAAATTTGAAAACCGATATTCCATACCTGGAAAAAATCTGGAAAATAGAGAAAAAATCTTGAAAAATGGCAAAAGTCTGGATTTCTTGTGCTTAATAAGTGAAGCTTTTTTCCCCTTAATCAAATCTTATTTAATCTCGCCCGTAACCAAGACATTTAATCACAAAATGAGAAATTTAAGAGCCCTCTTATGTACGCATTGCACCCTAGTTTGCAATGCATCATGAGAAAAGCGCAATCCGTGCTTTTTTTTAGGTCCCTGTTGATCACCTATGTGATAACCTTGAGTCTGGAAAAAGAATTTATTGTTTTTGAAAAAGTGTGGAAAAAGTCTCGAATTTTGGATCCAAAAATCTGTCCGAACCTGGGGTTTGGTGCCCTTAATCCCAGTCTTCAATTCTGCATCTTTACTTTCATCTCAGTGGGTTCCATTCCTCACTCTTACTTATTTACCTCCGCGACGGGCCGAATAGGTGTTCAAACTGTATCAAAGTATGGCAAAAAACCTATCCAATGTGTTACGCTCCACTTCCGAGATCGGCCCCGCGCAGCTTCGCTCTGTCACAGAAATCGCGCCGCCACAACCGTTCTTGTGTGTGAACAGAAGCCCTATCTGGTATGATTTACGAGGCGGCACAAAAGCTGTCCGGGGTAGTGTGAACATAGCCTTAATCCCTGACTCTATTTAAGGGAAGCAAAAATGAAGATCAGTGACAGAGCTGGAAAACAGCCGATCGAGTAAACAGCCAACATTTCACGACGCTATCAATTCCATACTGATGACGTATCACTACCCAGATCTGGGTACAACTTCTGATTGGTTGTGCCCCGGGGGAAAATTGCTTCAACCAACCAGAAACACTATCCAGATCTTGGTAGTGACACGTCATCTTTATGGAATTTCTGCGCTCATTCCTCAGACGTCATTTCATGGGGAAACCAGTCGTGATCTGGACTTTCTTGTAACATAATGTTCTTTCTAGGCTGTAAAAAGGTCTTCCGTTTGTGTCAGAGTTGGTGTGATTTCGGGGGAAAAGATCAGGCATGTCACAGTTAAATCTACCTTAATGCAGATTATCAACTGGTCAACGCTCTTTCGCCTTTCGTGGGGCAAAAAAATACAACCTACCCCTAGAAAACCAGTTCGGAACTTAAACAATATCTCAAGTTTTAAAGGAAAGTCGCCGCCCACTTTCCGGGAAACTCTTCTTAAATAGATTGAATCACATTTGTCATTACCGTATATAAACTCATGTAAATATTTCTTATTGTAACAGATGTAAATAGTTTTGCCCCATTGTAATTTTATTATTGTATATTACTTATTCCTGTATATTATGACAGAATAGCCCCGTATAGAGGAGTCGTAATAAAGTGTATGTTATGTTATGATATGTTATGTCATGTTATGTTATATGTTATGTTATGATATGCTATGTTATGTTATGTTATGATATGTTATGTTGTAAAAAAATAACAATAACAATAATTATAAACTAGTAATAACCAAAGGTTACGGAGTACGGGCGAAAACGATCGAAGGTCAAAACGCTTTTGCTCAAACGCTGTGGTTTGCATAAGTTGAGTGTGATAGATGGTCAAAACGTGTGTGATCAGATTGCGAGTGACGGATAGTTCAAATGCAAGTGATCAAATTGCGTTCTGTGCATTTCATTCATTCTTAGTGAAAGTCCAAACGAAAGTATACATGCGCATGCCACGCATGCGTAATAACAACCTCGAAATTAGGATTGCGGGCTCCTCTTGTCGCCGGCAATTATGTCTCCACGTAAAAATAGAGATAAAAATAAAACTAAATAATAAAATCTACATCTACATTTATTTCTTCGGTAAAATGTTATGCTCTCGATCTCCACCCCAGGTTTTCTTCTTTTGTGTCAAAGAACCCGCTGATGGCTGCGGAGGTGAAACACCGCTGGTCAAAAATAGTGACCTTCTCTCTTCACTGGATCCTGACATAGTGAGGAGAATTGAAGAGAAACAGCTGCGATACGTGTGCTATTTGCCTGATAAATCCAACGCAGAATACATGAACTGGCAGCACTCTTTTCACACTGACAACAGAGAGGTAGACGATTTTGTTTTAAATTCCATTTCACGGCCGGACGTACAAGAAATGTATTTTTCTACTCTTATCAGTCGTTCAAGGGGGCCAAATTCGTTAAAGATGTAAACTTTGCTGTTAAGACCATTAACATGAAGGAAATACTTTAATTCCTATTACGACTAAATGACCGAGGGCTAAACTAAACAGAACGTATAATCTTGATTAATAATGCCAAGAATAATTTCGCCTTTTGAGAGAGAGATTCTTGAGTTCACCACGCATCAGGCCCAGTCTAAAAACTCTTTTCAGAACGAAGTGGATCGCGTGCATTCAGTGAAAAGATGTACAAAGGTGTGATCCATTGGACAATAGGGGCAGAATGTAGAGTCTTCTTTTTTCATTTGAAACAATAAACGTTTAGTGCGCAGGATATTGTGGATAATTTCACACTGAAACATTGATAGCTTTACCTCTATAGTTACAGGAGTTACCTAAAATGGCCTTGGAAGCGACATGCTGGTTATTGTAACCTGTTTGTTTAACGTTTCTTAGTTTGTAAGCTGTCTTTCACTGTTTGCATTATGTATGTAACTATCATTTGTTTTTTATAAGAATATTATTTATTGTACTGAAGTGTGATGCGAGGAATACTTGAATAAAGTTGAAAAAAATAAGAAGACAACAGAAAGCAGAGTTTGCGATAGCCTCTCTCGCGCACCTAAAAGTTCGCCAATGCCCTCAAGGCGCTGCTAATCACTATAGCGTGCTTACAAACAGTCCTGAAACTGACGAGATTAGCTATAAGAACCAAATAGAATCCAGAATTCAATTAAATAAATGCAGAATCCACAGTGGTAAAAGAGCCGTGTCACGAAATTTATCAAAATTCAAACATTTGTAACTGCTGCCAAATTGAGTGAAACATGAAAATAACTGCTCAAAACATTAGAAGAAGGTTTAAATAACAAAGAAAATACATAAGAAGGCACAGATAGACAAACTTTGAAGAAGATTAAATCGGATTGGAATTGTGGTTTTTGAAAACTCGTTAGCCTAACAGTTTTTCAAACTTCACGTTTGTTATGTGTAGTGCTGGAAACAATGCTTGGAAGACAAAATCATTTGTTTTACATTTAGCTGTGATTTTGTTAGTTACAAGAAGTTTCTTCACTAACGTTGAGTTCCATAGCGAACAAGGGTCACGCGTAATTGAAAATATTAAAAAAATGAATAGCCGTCACGCAGCCCCTTTAATTTTCATTTCCTTTTTATAATGTCTCATAGGTTGTGGAAACCATAGCAAAAGAACAAGGCAGGAATTTCACATGGGACCCAAGCGGTGATTTGTACCTATGGCAAAACAGGCCTGCCTTTATATATCACCCAGTCACTAGAAAGAAAACTTGGTTTAATCAAGCTACGACACACCATGGTTCCTATTACCGTCTACTGCCGGGAGGAGACAAGATCCAAGAAAATCAATATCCATCCCACACATTTTACGGCGATGGAAGCGATATCGAGCCCGCAGTAATACAGCACTTACTCGCCACTGCCTGGTCATGCGCAGTAGGGTTCAAGTGGAGAAAGGGAGACCTCTTGGTGCTCGACAACTTGGCAGTACAACATGGGAGGCTTGGATTTGAAGGGGACAGAAAGCTTTTGGTCTATATGACAAACTGATAGAATATATACATTTGGAAGTCCAATGCGAGATTAATTATATCCTTACATCAACTACCTTGGGCCAATGTTGATTTGTATTCTGATCCCAATGAAATGTGGCATGTATGGAAAGAAATGTTTCTTGGCTGCGTCGATAAACACGCACCACTTAAATCCAAAAGAACTCGGAAAAAACGATCTCCATGGATTACTAGAGAGTTACTGAGCAAAATCCGAAAACGAGATTTCCTTAAAAAGAAGGCAATCTCCTCCAATAACCCGGCTATATGGGATCAGTTTAGGTGTGCAAGAAATCAGGCAAATAACGCAATTAAACTCGCAAAAAAACTCTATGTTTCTGACAACCTGGAAGCCAACAAAGGTAATTTGCGCAAAACATGGAATGTTATCAACGAGCTAACTTCACGTAACAGTGGTAAGTCAACGAATATTTTGGAGATCAAGGTAGATGATAAAATAGCAAGTAACCCTTTGGACATTGCGGAAACTATTAACGATCACTTTACAAACGTTGCGCAAGTATTAGCACAAGATATTCCTGTTGTCGATGTTAATCCTGAGTCTTATTTAAAGCCCACTGATCATTCGTTTTCTCTGCAAATTCCGAGTGTTGATATTGTTTCTAACGTTTTGTCGAAAATTGATGAAAAGAAAGCCACCGGTCTTGATATGATTCCGAGTAAATTGTTGAAAATGGCTGCTAATATCGTCGCACCCTCTCTTACCTCAATATTCTCAAAGTCTATTCTCACTGGGATATATCCAAACGATTGGAAAACAGCCAAAGTGACTCCACTTTTTAAAAAGGGCATTAAATCGGACCCTAACAACTACAGGCCAATATCTGTAATCCCTATAATTTCGAAAGTTTTTGAAAGAATTGTTTATAATCAACTTTTCCATTATCTAGATGATAATAAATTGCTACTAGGTTGCCAATCAGGGTTCCGTTCTCTACATAGTACGCTCACGGCTTTGCTTGAGGCAACAAATGCTTGGTCAGTAAACATCGACAATGGCCTTCTAAATGGCGTTGTCTTTATTGACCTTACTAAGGCATTCGACACCATTGATCATGAGATCATCTTGCGTAAGATGTCATACTTGGGTGTCGATCAGGCAGCTATAAAATGGTTCTCGTCGTACTTAAGTGGCCGAACCCAAAGATGTAATGTCAGTGGCAAACTATCATCTGCTCGTACCCTCAGTTGCGGCGTGCCGCAGGGTAGCATATTGGGTCCTTTGCTATTTTTAATTTACATTAATGATCTTCCCAACTCCCTGCGGGGCGCCGTACCAAGAATGTTTGCCGATGACACCAACCTTACGTTATCTGCTAAGACGTTAACAGAGCTTAAGCTAGCTCTAACCCCTGAATTAAATAACCTTAGCTGTTGGCTGAAAGCTAACAAGCTCAGTCTAAATGTTGCTAAAACAGAGCTAATGATTATTGGATCAAGACAAAGACTATCTGCCCAATGTGACGATGTAGAAATCAAAATTGATGACCAAATTATCAAGAGAGTCGATCATACCAAATCCTTGGGTCTTACCATAGATGCTCAACTCTCTTGGGGTAAACACGTTGAAGAGATTTGCAAGAAAGTCTCTTCAGCTATAGGCGCCCTAAAACGTGTGCGGCCCTTTATATCCAAAGAAACTGCAATTCAAATTTATAACGCTTTAATTATGCCTCATTTTGATTACTGCAGCCCCGTCTGGGACTGTTTGAGTGGTTACTTGAGTGATAAGCTCCAAAAATTACAGAATCGTGCAGCCAGAGTTATTACTAAATCACCCTTTGATGCGAGCTCAAACCACCTTCTCTCCACCCTCAGCTGGGAGAGGCTATCTCTTCGACGAAAGAAACAAAAAGCCTTAATGATGTATAAAACCATACATGACCTTGCTCCAAAATATCTACAAAGTCTTTTCTCTCAGCGTCACTCTGCTTACAACTTAAGAAACTCTGAGGGAAGGCTGACCCTGTCCAAACCAAACACCAATTATTTGAAACGAAGCTTCTCTTACAGCGGGGCCATGTTATGGAATAACTTACCCAAAAACTTAAAAAACGCTGCATCCGTTGAGCATTTTAAGCGAAATATCAAGAAGGTAGCTGATATATCGGATTCCCACACGGCAATCATGTAAAGCAGTTGTACTTAGTTTTAGTTTTTAACTTAAGCTTAACTGATGATTTCCCGTGTTTAAATAAAGATTTACATACATACATCGAAAAAACATGCATGCTTTGTAGCGTGCAAGGAAGCTCTGCACTTAAGAAAAGATGGACGCGAAAATTCAGTATTCTACCCTAAAGAAATTGCTCTGTCTGCTCAGAGAACGGTTGAATAAGAAACTCAGAATACGAAAAATGGGTTTTTTTATTATTTGGCTCCTCTACTCTATCAAACGATTAATACATTGAAATCTTGTTCAAAGTTCAACCATTTAACAAGGAGTCTGAACGCTTTGGTTTTTTCTTTCGTTTGTTGTTTGTCATCGACAAATCATAATGTAAGGAGAGATTTTCCATGAATTCTTTATTTGCCTCGAATTTCATATATAGGTTTCAAATATTCGCTTTGACGTTGTTTTAGTTGCATAAAGAGGTTTTAGCTCCGCAAAAAGGCTCGTGCCATTTTATTATCCTTTGTTTCATTTGCTATGTGTTCGCTAGGTAATAATCATAGAAAAGCCAACAGTGTTCTTTAACAAACAAAACTAATTGTTCTTTCTCTTTTCAATTATAAACATTTTACGTCAATGTTGACTCTTGAAAGAATACTTAATTTCTTAATAATGGTTTATTTGACTTAAGTCTATTTTTCGTGATTTTACTACCGGAAATAAAAAAAGGTTTTGCGGTCTTGCAATTTTAAAAATAAATCGGTTTTTGTTTAAGGTGAAAACTTCCAATTAGTCTGCGCTTTTCCTGTTTAAACAGCCGATAGCTGAACTTGCAATTTAATTCATAATTGTAACACTTTGTACATAAACGCTGTTTTGCTGACCTGGCTAGGTCCTTGTCTCAGTACTTTTACTCTCTAAAATAGCAACAGTAACAAAAGATTTCAGGTTAAAAATAGAGTTTGTATTTAGTTTTCATTTAACTCTAAATGATTTGTTTATATTTCTATTGTATTCTTTTCTCTTCAGTGGTTGTAAGAATCATATATAAGTAAGTTAGTTTTTATTGATTGTCGATTATTTCGCCGTGTCCTAGCCGAGTTATTGCTGTTTGATCCGCTGAAGAATAAACGCTGTTGGAACCACGTTTAGTACTGTTTTATCTACTGCTGTACCAGTTAGTGGTCTGATCCCGGGCCTACAGAGAAGTGACGGCTCTTCCCCGCAAGCAAATTGCCATTTGAGTCTACTTTTCCCCAGTTTATCGTGAGTCAAGCACCGAGTTCCCGTTGAGCCTTAAATTCGTTTCAAAGTGGAAAAACCTTCCGTCACAATAACTAGAAATACGTGAGTCGTAGAGCTTCGCGAAGCAAAGGCTAAGTAAGGGCTAGAAGTAGGAAAAAAGGGAAGAAGTCAGTAGGGAAAAGAAAATATGAAAGAAAAATAAACAAACAAACAAATAAGTAAGCAAAACAAAAAAACAAGACGAAGAAGAAGAAGAGCGAATTAAATTAAGTGTAGAACCCGCACATCCTGCTGAGTACCACTTTTCTTTACCACTATACTACTGAGGATGATTAAATAAAGGGGATGAAAAGTGTTTAATTTAACGCCTTTTCCATGGATTTTCCGCAGGCAAACACCGTTTTAAGCTGACCGAGCCCTATTAAAAACGAATTCAAAGATATATTTCAGCAAAATAACCACGCTTTCGACGGTAAAAAGACAAATTTAAAATCATGCTTTTTTTCTCTGAATAACAAAGAAATGTTTACAATATCTATTGTTTTTGTAAATAAAATCTACAAATGAAATTTACACTTACAATACATGCATCTTCTCGACTCTAATGAGCAGTTTTAACACAACTCAACATGCACTAGAACATACCTTTAGTCATCATGAAACTGTCAAGTAAAGCAACGTGTGTTTTTTTGTAGTTGAGTAATTAGTATAGGTAATAGCATGATTAGTAGTGATATTTGGCATAAATACCACAAGTGATATTTCAAAATTGTTATACGTAATTTCACGAGCCGTTAGGCGACTGAAATTTGAGACAATTTTGAAATATCATGAATGGTATTTATGCCAAATATCACGAACAAATCATGCTATTATTTGTTTATACTACTACCCACAAAAGGTTTGTAATTTTCAAATGTAGGTATTTCAAATTAAGCTGAAATACCACTGCGCTAAGCCAATCAAATTGCAGAAATTTCTCATGTAGTAGTATAAAATACATAACAACGCAACGTATTAACTGTTTTGCCAATAATTCAATATAAATAGAAAAAGTTTTAGCCGGAGAAAAAAAGTTACAATCAACCCAATGTGAACCAATTTCTGTTCCGCGGACGATTAAACTTGCGTGCAACGAGATGACTTTGTGTTTTCTAAAGCGTCTAAGGCCCAGTTCAGACGTCGTGCTTCTGCCCTGCCGAACTAAATTGAGGAATTAAGTTCGACAAAAGCACGGCAGAAGCACGGCGTCTGAATCAAACTTTTGAATTAAGTTCGGCAAGCAATTAAGTTCGACAAGCGCTGCCGTGTTACACGGCTCTGGCACCGCAGCGATTCAAACGTCGTGCTTCTGCCGCGCTAAACAAAATTCGTAAATTATATTAATGTGTTTTGGCGAGATTGCGTTCCCACGGAGAGTTGGGAGAAGAATTGTTACGAGGCATCAGTAAATCCTGAATTTGGTTCGACTCTGACACGACGTCTGAATCAAAGTTGTTTTCCTGCCGTGCTACAGTCGAACCAAATTACAATTAAGTTCGGCACGGCAGAAGCACGACGTCTGAACTGGGCCTAAGCAAGTGCACGCGTTTACAATCTGCAACTTCGTACAACATAAT